AGGTCAAATTGTACGACGTGATGCCCGTACTTCTGATCCTCATTCTCTCTCTCAGCAACTCCTGATCTCTATTTAGTGGCTGGTTCTTTGTTGAGATCTCACTCGGAGAAAAGCACGAATGTATCTCTAATTGAACTCGTTGCATTCTTGATCGGGTGGGTGAAAACATTTTTGTTAGTTAGAATTAAAAATTGAAGAAAATAAATAAAATATTTTGATATGTAATTAAAGAAAATGAATAAAAAAATGTTGAAATTTATTTATATTCTTTTGAATTTGAGAATGATTTAATTAAAATAAACATACCCTTTATATACTTCCCCAGTTATATTTTTCTTCAGGATATCACTATAGAGAAGGGTATTGTTGGTGTGGGCCCCAAACACTCCTAAAAAATAAACCCTAAAAAATTCTCTAAATTCAACAATTTTAAAACTGTGAGGAGTGTGGAGCCCGGCGTGATGCTTGCTTACTTGTCGGAGTTTCATACGAACGTCTGTCCAATCCATTCTTTAGTAAAGTTTTCACTTTATGCTTGTTTTTATATGGTATTGTGGTTTCTTTAAAAGTTTAAATTAAAAAGTTTAAATATTTTTCTACTGTAAAAGTTAAAATATGAGAATTAAATAGTAAATTCATTTTATATTTATAGGGTGAAATCTATAACGGAATGACGGATGGTTGGAATGAATTATGCCATGAATTTCATCTTGAATGGACAAATTCATCAATCACATTGGGCAGTTTCATAATAATTCCACAATGGACAGTCCCACACAAGCCAATGCAATAAGAAAAAATTGAATATAAAACTAAAAGCTTGATTGACAACCCAATACAATAAAGAAAAATTTAGCGTAAAAATTTCAACTTTTACTAACCGTATTAGAAAAAATATTGCTCTTAAAATAACTATAAAAATAATTAATAATAAAACCGTACGTTAACAATAACTAAAAGTAAATAAGTTTCAAAGCAGAAAATTATTAGTCTAGCGCTTAACAAATTATAGACATGATCACTTAATTTAAACTTGAAACTTTGAACTGTATACATTTAGACCTTCAATTAGTTAATATGTCATAATTCAATTATAAACTTTTTTTAGTAAATATAGATTATTTTTATGAAAATATTATTTACGAAGACAATTTGCATACAAACAGCAAGTGACCTCAGGCAAGATAGAAAATAATTCTTGCAATTTGTCATTTTGGTATTATTTTTCGAATTTTTTAAAAAATTCTGGACTAAATTTTTTAAAATTATTAAATATTATTCCTTCTTATCTTTCTTTTTATTAATACTAGTCACAACTTTGACGTGTCGAACGCTGTTCATGTAATTAATTTAGTCTCAAACCATTTTCTGTATAATTCTTGTAAAATAAAACCAAAAAATTGGTATTTTTTCGAAATTTTTTAGCCAATTTTGTTAAAATTTTCAAACAAATTTGTAATTTTCACTGTTAATTGAAATATGGAGCAAATCTAGGAAGCATAAGAGCCAATAAAAACATAAAAAATGCATGAAAAAAGAGAATTTTTTCATTTTCCAAAATTCAAATGTTCAAACGAGACACAGGACTTTAATGTGTATATATGTGCTTATGAACATATGCATGTATGTGTGTAAAAATGTATATGTGTGTAAGTGGCTAAAAAGTGTATGTATGTATGTATGTATGTTTGTTTGTTTGTTTGTTTGTGTATATGTGAGCTTGTATGCGATTATGCGTGTGTGTTTCCGATTTAATTTTTGAAGAACTCTTTAGTTTAGGCAATGCCTTCTATGCTTTTGAGATTTTCAAGTATGTATTTATGTATGTGTGTATGTGTAAGTGTTTCTATGTATGCATGCACGCACATACACACATACATTTTTACACACACACACACAAACAAAAAAAACATACAAACATATACAAACACATAAACACACAAACAAACAAACACATACAAACACATACACACACACAGACAAACACGTGCAAACATAAACAAACAAACACTTGCAAACATAACAAACAAATACATACAAACAAACATATACAAAGATGTCTTGTGCGCATGCCTTATCCGAGTCGATTGCAGATTTCTCATGTTATAAAAATACTAGCTTGAAAAAAAAACTGGAGAAAGTGTGAGAAAGAGAGGGGGGGAGAGAGAAGAAGAAAGAAAGAAAGAAAGAAAGAGAGAGAGAGAGAGAGAGAAAGAGAGAGAGAGAAGAAATAGAAAAAGATAACAGAAAAAAATTATAATGAATTAAAAGGGTAAATTATATGGAGAAGATGATTGAAACTTACAAGAATAAGAAAGAAGAAAAAGTGAAAAAGAGAGGGAAAGAAAAGAAAAAAATGGAGAGAGAGATGGAGAAAGAGAATGAATAGTTTAGAAATAAATAAATAAATATTTACAAATTATATATCTTTTTTTTTCTCAAAAATAATTATAACAATCATCGTCAATCACGGTCGTATCAAAGTGGTAATCGTTCAAAAAATTATTTCAACACGATTCCTCGCTATCGTCGTCTGGATTATTTTTAAATAATAACAATAATAATAATATTTATTATTATTATTATCACTATAACTATAATAATAATAATTATTATTATGTAAAAACAGACGACAATATTAACAACAACTCAACCGATAAACTACGACAAAAATAAAGATAATTAAAAGCTAAAAATATTTGGATAATGAACAAAAACAGCGGTGTGCGTGCGTGTATGTGTGTGTATATGTGTGCCTGTATGTGTATGTATATGTATATGTGTGAGTGTATGTGTATACATATGGGTACGTGTATGTTTGTCTGGGCGTGTGTGTGTATATGTGTGTGTGTATGTGTGTGTATGTGTGTTTATATGTGTGTGTATATGTGTGTGTATATGTGTGTGTGTATGTGTGTGTATGTGTGTTTCATATCGTACTCATAAACAACAATCCCAAGCCGTAAACAACGAATTCGACAACAACATCAATAACAAATCTCTTAAACATAAACAACAATTATAAACTGGGAACAATGACAACAACAACGACGACGACAACAACAACGGCAACGAAAGCAGTATCAACAACAACAAAACAATATCAACAACATCAACAACGAC